CCCATGGCTGGAGTGCAATGTGTTCCAGCAAAAACAGTGCACATCAATATTAAATTTGGTGCATCCTGCTAGTTCAGTACATAGCCTGGCAGCCATTGATACTGATGATATATCCTGCTAGTTTGGTACACAGCCTGTGTAGATTCAATAATATTTTGATTTCAAATAATGTATGATTTCCTTCCTTTCAAATCATAGGGGTAATGTCAGTGTATATAAATTTTGGGAGGGGGGGTAAAAGGTAAAAAAGTTCCCTGACCCCTGCTTTAAGTGGATACTTGAGATGGGCATGAACTGTCAGTTTGGTGGTTTGTGCCAGTTCGTCTGATGAACAGGTTTGTGCTTCTAAGCCCTGCCTCCTTGAGCATGCACCCACTCAGAGGCAGCATGCTGGGATCCCTGCCCTTCCTCCTCTGGGCACTGCCTCTGAGTGGGCACCTGTTGGAGGAGGCAGGGCTTAGAAGTGCCAAAAACCCATTTGGCCAATAAATGAGCCGCCAAACTGCAGTTTGTGCCCATCTCTATTGGATATATTTAGTACTGTAGTGGTATGAGTTTTCTAGGTATTTAATTTTCAGTTAAATGCTGCATTGATTTATTTGCTTCTCTTATTTTTCGCAGAGACCTGAAACTAGACAATGTGATGCTTGATAAAGAAGGACACATCAAAATAACTGATTTTGGGATGTGCAAAGAAAATGTGTTTGGAGAGAACAAGGCAACAACTTTCTGTGGTACTCCAGACTACATAGCACCTGAAGTAAGGAATGCACACTTGGAATGTTTATGGCATAAAGTGTTTTTATTTTCTTTTAGGGAGAATGGCCTTTTCACTTTCTTCCAATTCTATATTTTTTGTGTGCCAATTCTTTTGTTTGACATGAAAAAGAAAAGCTTGTTTTGGGACAAGGCAACAGAGAATCAATCTACTCCACATCAGCAAAAGCATTTGAGAAAGAAAAATCATACCTCATTCACCCACCAACTTATTTTAAAAAAGAAACCAAAAACAAGAACTTCAACAAAAAATAGGAAAACAGAAAGCAACAGTTTGAGTTCAGTGCCATCTACACAGCACAACCGGGGACCTCTGGGCTTGTAGGTACAAAAGAAAAAGGCAAGGAAGAAGCCAGCCAACCAGGCATTGGCTGCCTGGCACAAAAAGACACCTACTCACCAAAGCAATCAATAACAACACAACATCAAAAGCAACAAGACAGCAATACCCACACAGCCTAGTAACACACTGGGATGCTCACCAAGTCTACCTCCAGGCCTACATTGCCACACAGAAGCAAAATGCCAAAAAATCTCACCAAATATACAGCTTTAACAGAGTAAACTTCACGGATTGCTATGGGCTATGCAGTGCAGGGACACCCAAGATGGACAGGACATAGTGGAGAGTTCTGACTAAACGCAATCCACCTGGAGTAGGAAATCGCAATGCCACTCCAGTATCTTTGCCAAGAAAACCCCATGAACAGAAACAAAAGGCTAAAAGATATGACGCTGGAAGATGGGACCCTCAGGTCGGAAGGCGTCCAACATGTTACTGAGGAAGAGCGGAGGACAAGTACAAATAGCTCCAGAGCTAATGAAGTGGTTGGGCCAAAGCTGAAAGGACACTCAGCTGTGGACGCACCTAGAAGTGAAGGGGAAGTCCGATGCTGCAAAGAAAAATACTGCATAGCAACCTGGAATGTAAGATCTATGAAC